CAATGGGGACAATAAGACTGGTAACCCTCCAGTATTATCCCACTGCCAGATGGAGGGCTCCTAGCACTGCCAATCAGAAGTCAGTGCGCAGCACTTTGCTGTAAAATTCTGTGAATGAGGCAGGGCAATGGATGGCAGTATGAAAACATACGAACTGGAAGCATTTTTTTTCTTACCAGAAGAAATATTGGTTATGTAGGAAAAGGTGGGAGAGTGCATAGTGCATTTTGATTTGAGGCACTATGAGCCCCTGGTACAGAGGCACAGAATCGTAGAATAGTAGAGTTGGAAGGGGCCAGAAGGCCATCGGTCCAACCCACTGTTCTTGCAGGACACTAAGGTACACCAAGTTCCACTCTACACCTCACTGTGGTATCTCCCATGATGCTGCTGCTGCTGACGACTTTGCATTTATACCCCACCTTTCTTCCTTTTGGGACTGCAGGTGACGCAGTGGTTTAAACCACTGTGCTGCTGGGCTGGTTGATCCAAAGGTCGCCGGTTTGAATCTACACAACGGGGTGAGTTCCCGCTGCTCGGTCCCTGCTCCTGCCAACCTTGCAGTTCGAAAGCATGCAAATGCAGGTAGAGAAAAAGGTACCACTTCGGTGGGCAGGTAACCGCGTTCCGAGCACCTCGGTGTTTAGTCATGCTGGCCACATGACCATGGAGACTGTCTGCGGACAACGCTGGCTCCCTCGGCTAGGAAGAGGAGATGAGCACCACCCCTAGAGTCAGGCATGACTGGACTTAATGTCAAGGGGAAACCTTTACCTTTTCTTCCTTTTACAAGGAACCCAAGGTGGTTAGGTTTTTATCCTTGCAACAACAATTTTGGGAGATAGTTTAGGCTGTGTGTGAATGACTGGCCCAAAGTCACCCAGTGGGTTTTATGACTTGAGTGGGGACTAGAACAGTGATCCCCTACAGCCCAGTCCAGTACTCTAACCACTACACCACACAGCCACCATATTTTCTAGAAGAGGCTTTTAACTTTATCATTGCTTCAGCTTCCAGATGCTTGGGGAGCATGAGATCAGATCCTCTCCCCATGCTTTTTGCCAGGACTTTCTTTCTCTATGTTCCACTGTATCATTTCAAAGTATTGTTGCGATGCAGTAGAATTGTGCAACAGCACTAAAGTTTCATTCCTCAAAAATACCAGACTTTCTAAAATTAGGGGGGAAACCCTACAAAAATGCATGGAAATCACAGGAGAAGCCCTGGAGCAGGACAGCCTTAATCTAAGTCACCTGCAAACTATGCAGGTGACTCGTTTTAGAGAGTGCCTGCAGCACAAGGCAAGGGAATTGTAGCTAAGCTTACTTCCAAACATATATTGTTACAGCCAGCAAATCCCATCAGCTTCATCTGAGTATGCCTGACCTAGCAGCTTTTCTACATAAGGCATTTCTCATGCAATCATCCCTTTATGTTATGTTAGTCGTGAAGTCGTGCCCGGCCCATCGCGACCCCACGGACAACATTCCTCCAGGCCTTCCTGCCCCCCACCATCCCCTGGAGTCCACCTAAGCTCACACCGACTGCTTCAGTGACTCCATCCAGCCACCTCATCCTCTGCCGTCCCCTTCTTCTCTTGCCATCTGTTGCTCCCAGCTTTAATCATCCTCTACTTGGTTATTTTTAGCTCGTTCAAACCAGAAAATGCCTTTTTTGTGTATTTATGCGCTATGCTATGCCATAGTGCCACCTATAGGTAAGGTTGTAGAAAAGCAGGAAAAGAAACACTCCAACGTGCTGCTCGGATCTCAAACCTGGAACAAAACTGAACGAAGATACAGCAGATTAATAGCCACGTGTAAAAAAGCTCTAAGGCAGTGGAGCTGAGGCCAGCAAAAATAAAAGGGGAAATGGGGATTCCAATCCATGTTTTTGCAGGGAATTAGGAAAACAAGGAGGGATGTTCTTGCCTCAGGCTGTGAGACACGTTGGGCCAGGTATCTGCCTCCTGTTCAAATCCAGTTCCAGCACAAACGGAGGCACAGAGAGAGAGAGAGCTTGCTTCTATTGTTCACACCACATCTCTGAAGTAGTACGTTCCTTACAGATGGAAAAAAGAAGCGTGCGACCTGGCTCGGTTCACATGGAATAATAATCCACATCTTTACTCTCCGATCCATGTTATGTCCTGCCAGATGCCTCAGCATAGCTTGTTTCTCCCTCAGCCCCCAGCCCACTTCCTGCATGGATCCCAGTGTTGAAGGATAGCAACTTCACATGATCTCTCGTACCTGCCTATTCATTTATTCAACTTATATTCAGCTATATTGGCCCAAGGGCCCTCTAAGCGGATTACAATGAGATAAAAACATAATAAAACATATAACAATAAAAGCAATCAATTAAAGCACAGCAATAAGCAAAAGATAATAGGAGAAAACAGTACATAGCTGAGGGTTAATAATTTAAAGTCTTATAGATTAAAACACAAATATCACAACATTATCAAGATAAAATTGATTATTAAATGCCTAGAAAAGAAAGTTGTTTTTGCCCGGTGATGAAAAGATTGTAACAAGGGTGTTGGGTGAACTGCTTTTGGGGGGATGTTCCACAGGTGGGGGGCAAATACGGCAAAAGGCCCCTCTTCTATTAGCCATCCTCCTTACCTCCTTGGAGGATGTGGTCATCTTTTTTGAAATGTTTTTTTTCCTGATCTTTCACAAGAGTACATAATATATACAATCTTATCTAGTCAATTTCCTTGTATTTTACCCATTGTTGTTCAGCTGCAAAGTTGGCTCTTCGTGACCCCATGGGCTGTAGCCCTTCTGCCCTCCACTGTTTCCCTTAGCTCACCCAAAAATAGATTTCCTTGTATTTTACCATCTCCAATTCAGGGCTTCTTTTGCCAGCTGAAACATACACAAAAACTGACAAGGAAAGACTATGTTTACTGGACAGCCAAATCTGCACTCTTGTGTACTTAAGAAAATTTGGGGATGGGCTGGGGTGAAATATGAGCCCATGCCTGCAATTCCCAAAAAGTAAATTTAAAAATTGCTGGACAAAAGATGGTCTTTCCAAAGTGCCACTTGGGCCCCAGTGGAGGGCCAGTCACTGACAAGGGAGGCTGGAGCTTGCACTGGCAAGATTGTGAGGGGCAGCACCGTCCTCCGTACCATGTCTGCCAAGCAGCTCTGCAGCTGCCTGGACACAAGCCACTGGGCCGGATTCTGACACCACAATAAGCCACGGTGAGGCCAAGTTACCCTCAGTGACCACACTGCAAACCAAGAGTTCTGAAGGGCGGCTTATTTATGAAAAACCACACGTGCTGAACTTCCAGTTCCCGGTTTGGGTAACATGACGTGGGACCTCACACTCACGTGATTCACAGACGGCTGTGGCTTAGCCTGATGTCCAAAGCCCTCTCTGTGAACGGCCCTAAGGTGGTCGCTCAATGACACACAGTCCGGTGGGCTGCTTAACTGACGTGCCTTGCAGCCTTTGACAGGCCCGGCTCTGAGGAAGCTACACAGAAAAGATCAGGGAGTCTCCACCAGCCAGAAACTAAGCATAGGCTCTTTTCTGGCCATCTACCCTCCCTCCCCTGAACTTCAGGATGCCTAAAACCCCTGAAGTTTGATGACTGAGAAAACTCATCAGATGGAGATGCAGGGATGGGGGCTTTCCATGTGTTAAATTACTGCTAGCAGTGAAGCTTTGAGACACTAAAATGTCCAACGGAGAGCTGTCCCCATGACCAGCCCTACCCATCACTGAAGCTATCGAGCAAGGTACTCCTGTATGGGCCTGAGGACTTCTCTATATGAGGGGTTTAACCCGTCTTTGTCCATTTTCTTGGCAGGATTAAATTGCAGGGTTTGTATTTCAATATGCCTTTCTCCATGTTCTATGAACCAACCACAGGGAGGTGTGCCTTCCCACAGGGCTTTTGTTCCAGTCCAAGATTAACAAAAGAAATTTAATACCAGCCTTTTCTCACTCTAGCAAAAGATCCTCTAAAAAGGCTGGACAACATGGGAGGAAAAGAAAATATACCCTCACAAGCTTTCAAGAGGGAGGGATCCAAGTGACTCTGTGAAAGGAGCCTCGAGAGTATTGGATCCCTCTCTGTGGAATTCCCTGCCAGCTAATGTAGGCAGAAGCCAATACTTTTTTGGGTTTTTTCCCTGCAACTGCTAAATACATGAATGCCAGCCATAGTTTTATTGTTATGATTTGATTTTTAGTATTTATATTCTTTTGAATTTTGACCCTCTCTGTTTACTTTTTAGGAATACTTTTAGATATAGAGGTATGTATAAATTTTGTAAAGAAAACAAATAAATAGGCACAGAAGCCTTGAAAATTATTGAGACTGGGGTTTTTTTTTCTTCTTCTAACCTATTCCGGATGGTAGTGGGTATGACTATTAAGGATGTGTGAGGAATCTGTCTTGGGCGGGGATCCATTGGATTCCCTGGACTCAGTCCCACTGGACTCCAGTCTTATCAGCCCAAGTCTGAATTCCCAGTGACTGCAGCTGACAGTTTCAGGGCATTTGCCAGAAATTGTGCTCCATGCACTGACGAAGCATCGCCCTGCTCTGCCTCACTTGCGGCAGCTGTTCATTCCAGAAGCCTTTGCAGATGTCCTCTCTGCTCGCAGTTTATCAACATGGAAGCTTCCTGCTTTGCTTTGAGAAAGTTAGAGAGAAAGGGCTGGTCAGACTCAGCTGGCTCCAGGTGACACAGGCGAGAATCCTCCTCAAGATTCAGCAGCTCATCCTGACACCTGATACCGCCCGGAAAAAGGGCCGGCTCCTCTCCCCAGAGCACGAGGCTGAATAAAAAGTGAAGATCAGCTCGTCTGAATCAGCGTTGATGAAGGCCACACGGCCCCCTTCATAGTCCAGGGACACCCGGATCTTCCTGGGCTCGCATGTCAGGGTCAAGGGGGTCCACTCAGGGGATGTCAGAGCAGAGAGTTGGATGGCTGAGGAAGAGTCAGGCGGCCTCTTCCCCACTGCCCAGACCCCCTCTTGGGGATTCAGCCTGAAGTCCCCTTCCGCCAGACAGGCTCTCTTGCGATGCCCATAGCCCACGTGGCCCCGTCCCACCAGTGTCTTCTGGAAGTGAATCTCTCACGACCCGGCACGCAGGCTTCCCTGCTGAATCTCCCAGGTTTCTCGGGCAGGTCCTGGTATCTCTCTTCCCACCTCACGTTTGTCAGGTCGTCGGAGGAAAGGGTGGGCCGTATCAGGATCCAGAATCACTTTCACTGCTGGCAAAGGAAGGGAAAGGGAAAGGAGGGTTCGGAGGGTGTCAGGGAAAGCTCAGCAGGGATCACAAAGCACCCCCCCCCCCCGCCCACCACCACCTTCTGCAGGCTGCCTTTGAATCTTAGTCATGAGGCCCAGCAAAGAGCACAAAATCCCCTGTCCTCAAGCACGGGTAGATGCAGGGCAGGGAGGACGCTCTGGATAACTGCAGCTCTTGGGGCCCTGTTATCGGGGTGCTTGTAACACTAAATGCACTCCTAGAACCCTGGAGCTGAACTGGGCAAAAGCCAAATGTACACTCTGCACCTAAAGAACATTGCAGCCTTTGAGAAATGCAAAGATAACATTGACCAAAAGACCAATTGCAAAAGGAAATGATGCATATTCATTTTTACTAGGCCAACTCAGTTCTTCATAGTTCCTTATGTCTTGGATGGGTTTTTTAAATTATTTACTTATGCCTTTCTACCAAAAATGGCAAGGCGTCTTACAAAGACATTTTAAACAGTCCATTACTGAAGGTATCTGAGTCAGGTATCTGCATCAGAGCGGCAGAGTTGCCCGAGTTTGCTGCCCCCCATGTGGTGGTGTGGGGGGGCTTGGACTGAAGTGCCTTGATCAAAGGCCGTCTGGGGAACGGGGGACCAAAGTGAGGGTTCCCAGCTCCCCGTCTTAGGGCGCAGACCTGGCATTTAGACAGAAAGACGCCTACATGCCCAGCATGTGAGCGGTAGGCTTTTTTCCTGTCTAAATTTGTACAGTACTGTGCCTTAATTCACTGTATCAACACACCAACTCTCATTCCTCTGCCAGCCCTTAATAGACTTTTCTGACTCTCCCAGATGAAGGCCTGCTGAGCCACCTGAGCCACTGTGATCCCCGGTTAAGAATTTCCCATCTCTTATTTTCATTCAAGTCATTACCTTCACTTTCCTTCAGTGATCCTGTTCATACGGAAGAAAAAGTGACAAATTTAAAGTCAGATGATCCTTCATACAGCAAAAATATAATTTCACAGTAAAAAATATACTTAAAATATTATATTTTTTTGAAATATACATTTTACTTAGCACTACATTATGGAATGAATTATTAAATTCATGTTTGGGGAGCTGTTGGAAGTGGTCTTGCAGAGAAGCACCGACCTGACCCTGTTCTTCCTTTCTCATCCCATTTTCCCTTCCCACCCAGTGCCACAAACATACCTTTCTCCAGTGCTTTCTCCAGAGACACTGGGAAGGAAGAGTGACAAATTTACTCAGATTGCACACAGAGCAATGCATCATTCAAACAGTAAATGATCACACTCAGAATTTACACGTATTTATTCACTGACATATTTAGTGTCATATTTCTCTCCTGCTTTTTTCTGTAAGAAACCCAGACTGGCTTACATGTTCTTCCTTCTCCCCTCCAGTTTCCCCTCACAACAACCACATGAGCCCCATGGGGCTCAGACCGGTCTCCTGAGCCCTGGTCCAGACCTCCAAGCATTATGCCACACTGGCTCAAAACTGAGGCTGCGTGGAACAAAATGGAGCTCCAATTGGGCATCTCGCATGTGATGAGGAGTAAAGGCCAATAAATGGTGGAGAGGAAGAGTGAAAGGAGGTGCTGGGAGCAGAAAGAGGATGCACCTTCCAGCTGTGCTGTTGCTTCTCAAGTCCTGCTGCTAATCAGGGGTACATGAACTGCCCGCTCCAGCTTGCCAAGACCACTGATGTGGCTCCACAGCTTCTCATATCCATCTTCACCCAGAGAAATGCTCTGCTCTAGCACAGCATCATGCAAAAAGGTGTGGGGTTGGTTGGAGGTCCTCTTCTCCCTAGCCCATAAAGGAAGGGAAGGAGATGGGCGTATTTCTAACATGGGTCCCCAACCTGAACCACTAAACCAAAGGTGAGCAGGCTGGGACCCAGTCTCTGTCTCCAGTTCTGACCCATCTAACTTCTGATGAATGTGGCATATGGATTAAGGCCTGGATAAATTCTCTGCACTCTGGCAGTGTAGTATGGGAGAAGGCAGAGACTCATTTTGTGGTCCCAGAGAATTGATCAAGAAGCTTATTTTTCATAGAACCAGCCTAAAAGTAGAGCTCTCCCAAATATCTGTATTGCTTTTCTCCTGCCCCACAATACCTTCAATTTCTTGCATGGCTCTTTTAAGAATTGGAAGTTGCTGAGAATAACTTCTGAGAGTCTCTTCAATTCCTGAAGGAATTTCTACCACCTGCCTCATTTGCCCAGACTGACACCTGGAAAGAAGGTAGATCAGGTTAAGGGGTGGCTAAAGAGCATTGTCCCTTTGCAAGCTTGTAGTATGACTGGGCAGGTCAGCAGCAAGCTTAGGAAATGGTTTCTCATGGGAAGATTCCCCAAGCAACTTTTCTGAACTGATGCTTCTTCATGCGACTTGGTTCTAATCAGGTCAATGTCTGTTTTTAGAGAGACTGAATCAACAACAATGAAGACCTTCTCTTGATAAGGTTTTTCACCCTTAGGATGAAAGCATATTGACGAGGATGAGGCAGCAGGGGATGGGGGATGAGGCAAGACTGAGGGAACTGGGCCTCTTCAGCCTGGAGAAGAGGAGACTCAGGGGGGATCTGTTGGCAACATACAGGTATGTGAGGGGGTGTCACACGGAGGTGGGTAGAGACCTGTTCTCCCCTGCAGAGGAAGGCAGGAGGCGCTCCAACGGAGCAAAGCTCAGGGAACCAAGGCTCCATTTAGATGCCAGGAAGCACTTCCTGGCAGTTAGGACCCCGAGGGTGTGGAATGGGCTTCCACGAGAGGTCGTTGAGGCCCCATCGGTGTGGGTGTTCAAGGATCGGCTGGACATGCACATGGTGGGCATGTCGTGAGCGGAGCCAGCTGGAGCCAGGGGTCAGGCTAGCTGGCCCCGGAGGACCCTTCTGACTCGCTCTGTTTCTATGTTTCTATCAAGCATCAGAGTGTCTTCCCTACTAGTTGGGATCCCTATGAGCTCTTTAGCATACAACCCTATGCATATTCCGACAGAACTAAATCCTACAACTCCCAGCATGCTCTTAATTTCTTTTCAGATATGCACAGGGTGGCATCCTTCCCCCTGCAACAACTGCTTTCGAAGCAGAACTGGCCCTTCCACGGAGCAGAGTGAGGCAACTGCAAATTCCTGTTGTTGTTGTTGTTGTTGTTGTTATGTGCTGTTAAGTCATCTCAGACTTATGGCAACCCTATGAGCTAAAGCCCTCCAGAATGTCCTATCCATGACAGCCCTGCTTAGATGGTCTCACTTCAAAGGTGTGGCTTCCTTTATGGAGCCAAGCCATCTCTTATTTGGGCTTTCTTTTCTTCTTCTGCCTTTGACTCTCCATAGCATGATTGTCTTCTTCAGGAAGTCTCACCTTGGAATGGCCCCTGCTGGGCTGAAGAACCTTTGAAGGAGAAGCAGAAAGGGGAAAGAGAGAGCCACATACCTGTGCAAGGTACCTCTGATGTCCTGAAAGTAAGATAGAAATCAGTCTTAGTTCATAGGATCGCAAAATAGCAGAGTTGGAAGGGGCTATGAAGGGCATCAGGTCCAACCCCTTGCTGTGGCATCAATTCACACCATCCCACTCAGATGGCTGTCTGGTTTCACCTTGAATGTCCCTAGTGTGGGAGAGCCCCCCACCTCCCTAGGCAGCTGGTTCCACTGTTGTGTTGCTCTGACAGTGAGGAAGCTTTTCCTGATGTCCAGCCAGAATCTGTCACAGCTTGAATCGATTATTGTGTGTCCTACTCTCTGGGATCAGCAGGAAGAGATCTTGACCTTCCTCTTTGTGACACCCTTCGAGGTTCTTATAGAGAATGAGGCCTCAAACTATGGCTCGCAGGCTGGATCCGGCCCACCATGACCATTTATCAGGCCCGCCATAGCTCGCCATGGATGTGTGCATGGCGAGGTGCCGGCTTGCTCGCAGGGAGATCGTTTTGGACTTGTTGGGAGAAAATGATCACTGCGCACACATGCCCCTGCCTCCCTGCGCCCCCGCCCCACACTGCCTTGGCAGTCCACGCCCATCCCTGGCACCTTTCAACTGGCCCCCTATTCAGAAAGTTTGAGGACCCCTGCTATAGAGGGATATCATGTCCCCCCCAAGTCTTCTCTTCTCAAGGCTGAACGTGCCCAGTTCTCTCAGTCCCTCTTCAGGACACTTTTGTTGCCCTCTTCTAGGTGCTTTCTCATTTTTCTGCATCTTACTGAAATCTTGGTGCCCAGAACTGGACACAGCATTCCAGGTGAGGCCTGACTAGCGGGGAGTACAGAGTTACTGAGAATGAACTCATACTTCTTGTTCATATGAGGATTTGCCTGTTTATTGTCTAGGAAAACAGCTATACATGGCCTCTTTATTTCCCAGGTATTGGGGGGTGTTTTTATGCTAAGTCTTACCTGCAGGAATTCACTTGCTGGTTGCTGGCACTTCTTTTCCATCTCTGAGATCAGCTCAGTGAGACAGGAAATCTCCTCTGAGAACCTAGTGATGTTTTCATTCTGCTTCACCTCAGCCTCTATCTTCAAGTCTTCCAGCTGAGCCAGCTGATGGCGCTCCTTTGCATGAAGAAATGACTCTGTTTTCTGAAATTCAGATTTGATCATCCGCTTCTGCATTTCTATCTCCCTCTGGAAAGTGGGAAACATTGCATTGAGGAAAGGGGCAGAGGTGAGCCACAAAACTAATTCACACCTGCAATGTAAGTGTAGCAATTATTGAGTATGACTTATAAGACTGCTTTATATCTTGTGGAAGTAAAGAGGGCTCTTTTTACAGGATCCTCAGCTGTTGCCTCTTAGAAATCTGCTGGATATGTTTCAATGCACCAAATTTGCCAAAAGATTGTGAATCTTGGTTAAAATAATTTATCTGAAATTGGGCACACACTGAGTGGGTTTGAAATGTGTTTACTGAATGTATAGAGGAATAAATATGTGAAAACAACTTAGCTCGAACCAATTAAAATGTAACATTTTGAGCTTAGTTCAAGCACTTTAGCCTTTTTTGAGCTTTTGGCATGTGTGTAACCTGGGAAAAGGAAAGCAATCACCAGCAGGACTCAAGTTCACTGAAATTCTTTCAATTCCACCTTGAGGCTGGTTCCAATTCAAATCCACATCAGATGTGAGCTTTGTTTTAGTTTGTATTGTTTTCCTTTTTGCATGCATATTTTGTGTATATTTCTTTATACATCTTTGAAGCATGCACATTATTTTCCCCATTGATTAAAGTGTATTCGTGCCTATTTTTAAAAAGTACACACTTTTTCAGGGACATCTTACAAAAATACGTACACTGCCAAACACAATCCTTTTGGTCTGCAGATCACATTGCAAGCTCGGAGAGGGACAGCCTTCCACTGAGGAGTGTACCAAGGCTGTGTCTGGTCCAGAAGATACAAACTGGGCACATCCGGATCAAAAGTGAACTAAAATTCCCCACACACTGGTTCTAAATCATGCAGCAAGCCTCCAGGGTGAGAAGAGGCTTCTGATGCAGACAATTGTCCCCCACATGTGAACCTTCCTCACCTTCCAGCATGAACCCCAAACTATAGCCGTGTCGAACAAGAAGTGTCCATCTCTCAGTGACTGAGGTTACAAAGAGCTTCTCAGTTCACCCTCCGTGCCAGCCCACGAGCCAGAATAACAAGCACCCACCAAACACATCTGTTTCCTCTGCTCTTCAGCTACTTTCTTCTCCATAATTTTCTCTCTATTTTTCTTCAGAGATGTCTGTTGAGCTGCAATTTTTTCCTATAGAAACAGAAGAGCATGTTTCTTTTGAGGGGATGTCTACCATTCTAATAGCTGCTAGGTTTCCGTAGGACGGGGGTCGGCAACCTTAAACACTCAAAGAGCCATTTGGACCCATTTCCCACAGAAAATCAAACACTGGGAGCCACAAAACCCTTTTGACATCTAAAATGAAGATAACACTGCATATATCTTTTTTTTTACCTTTATGCTATATATAAAAAAACTATAGTGTGTTGCATTTATGAAATCAATGAACTGCTACAGAGAAAACAAATTTTTATTTCTGCATGCAACAAAAACATTTTGAACCCCCCCAAAAAAGATGCTGGGTTGAAGATTACTTTCAACTAAAATACTAAGAGTCAGTACAGCATAGGGCCACAAGGTTGGTGGCCGGTTTGCAGGGGATGGGGAACGAGACGAGACTGAGGGAACTGGGTCTCTTCAGCCTGGAGAAGAGGAGACTCAGGGGGGATCTGTTGGCGACACACAGGTATGTGAGAGGGTGTCACATGGAGGTGGGTAGAGACCTGTTCTCTCCTGCAGAGGAAGGCAGGAGGCGCTCCAATGGAGCAAAGCTCAAGGAACCCAGGTTCCACTTGGATGCCAGGAAGCACTTCTGTCAGTCAGGACCCCCGGGGTGTGGAATGGGCTTCCACAATGCGTGGTTGAGGCCCCATCGGTGCGGGTGTTCAAGGATAGGCTGGACGTGCACATGGTGGGCATGTCGTCAGCAGAGCAGGCTGGTGCCGGAGGTCAGACTAGATGACCCGGGAGACCCCTTCTGACTCACTCTATGTTTCTATGTTACTTAATGTCTATTTAACCCTGTAAGTTCACACATGTAACCTTTTTGTTTACTTAACTTGGCCAGCCTGTTCAAGGTAACTTTAATTTAGAAGGCCTGTCAAAGGCTTCTAATTAGAGTGACATCTAATCTTTTCTTTATGGTGCTGTGATGTGTATCCAGTCACTTTCCTATCCATATCAAAGTATCCAATCACCTTCCTGAGTATTGTATTCACTCCCCGTTTGTGTATTCTATATAACCCTGAGGAAATTAACATGGGGTGTTCGTTCTAAGGCACCCATGGATCCATGCATTCAATTGTAAATAAACTTATTTGCCCTGGCAAGAAACTGATTTCCCAGCCTCTGAATTTCGGATGGATGTGACACCTAGCCTTTCTGGGAACTAACAAAGCAGGTGACAGACGAACAAACATTACAAATAAACATAGAAACATATAAACGGAGTGAGTTAGAAGAGGCCTCCCTGGGCCATCTAGTCTGACCCCTGGCTCCAGCCGGCTCAGCTCACGACATGCCCACCATGTGCATGTCTAGCCTATCTTTGAACACCCTCATGATGGGGCCTTTTTATTTTTTGATGAAAACCACAAGCAGATGAACATGCAGTAAAACATTTAAAGCAACATTAAAAACCATGACCCTTAAGGGGAAATGCAGTTGTTCATTTTCATAGAATCATAGAATAGGAAGGTTGGAAGGGGACATGAAGGCCATTGAGTCCAGCCCCCTGCTATTGCAGGACACCACGTTACACCATCCCGCTCAGATGGCTGTCCGGTTTCTTCTTGAATGTCCCTAGGCAGCTGGTCCCACTGTTGTATCGCTCTGACAGTGAGGAAGCATTTCCTGATGTCCAGCCTGCATCTGGCTTGATGGAAATTGAATTAATTAGTCCGTGTCCTACACTCTGGCAATGGCAAGAAGAGATCCTGACCTTCCTCTTTGTGATATCCTTTGAGGTAATTATAGGGGGATATCATGTCCCCTCTGTCTTTTGTTGTTTTTGCATTTCTACAGCCAAGAACAAGGAACCAAACTGGTGTGTTTTGTTGCTTTGGGGACCAAAATAGCCTGCCTGACTTGCGGGGGGCGGGGGGGGACTGTTCACCTGGCCTTGTGGGCGCCATTTACCAGGCGGCCTCAGGGGCAGAATGTCGGGCTGGCTCTGTGTGAGAGTCGGAGAAAGAGAAAGGGGGACGAGCGAAGCCCTCTGGCCCACCGAGGCTGGGCCGACTGGGCCCCCCTGAGAACGGGGAGAGGGGGAGCCTGCTAGCTTCGGCTCATGTGGCCTACGAGTGGAGATGGCAGAGAACAGAGAGAGGGAGGGACCGGTGGCAAGTGTCCAATGGGCCACCCTGGTGGGTCAGGGCTGGGAAAGGCTCTGGGGTGTCTTTTGCAGGTTGGCTTAACTTAACTGGAGTGTTTTCCCTCACACCTGCCCTGCACTCTCGCTCCAGGTCCCTCAGGGTGAGGCAATGCTGCGTTCATTCGAGGGTTTATCTCGTTTTATCCTGACTGTAGCCCTGTGAGGCAGCTTGTGCCAGGCTGAGCACGACCGAATTGCTCAAACCCAATAATTCATGTGCTTGTTTGTAGCACTTATAAACCGCTGGGCTCAACTAATGCCCAGAGTGGCTTGCAAAGATAAGTAACACGGCCACCACTTCCTCTGGCCCCCAATTTAAATTTAAGACATGGCACAAAAGAAATAAGAGATAGGAAGGGAAGATACACACAATATATATGCAATATCTGGATGGATGGATGGATCACACACACACACACACACACACACACACACACACACACACACACAGCCTGTTGAGAGTTGGTGACGGCCGACTTGCTCTTGCTGAGCTACTTGTGGGGCAGCTGATTGTAATGGCTTCGGTGTGGGGAAGAGGGGCCCACTCTCGATTTCCTTAAGCAACAGCAGGACGTGATGGAGGCATATGTAAGAGGAGGAATCCGCGCCCATGTTCTCCGGCCTGCACGTGTGGATGCAAGACTCCTCTGGGCGGCACAGGTGGAAACAGCTCTCCAGCATGCTTGAATGAACCTCTTCGGTCCGGGACAGCAGCTTTCTTCCAGAGAGGCAACCCAAGGGCCAGCTGCAGGAGACATGGTCACCCCTTGCCCTCGTAGGGCCTGGCAGAACCCCCTCCTCTTCCCACCTGCCCTGCTGCTGCTCAGCTGCATTCCCCAGATACCTGTCTCCCTTTCTGGACAAAGATTCCCTCAACTCTTCTTCTGGGGCCATTGGAAAGCAAAGCCCCTGCCAGAGGAAGGGGTGGCCCCTTCCCCGAAGCTGCAGAAGCCAGCGTTCGCCCGGCGAATGAAATGAAATGTGACCAAGGGTGGTTAAAAATGTTTTCAATGCATGACATTGGAAATTAGTCCTCCCAAGCATTTCAGGAAAAACTACAACGAGGGGAAATTACCGCTGCCACCACTCTCCTGTGAGTCTGTACACCAGCTTTCCTCAGCCAGGCACCCTCCTGGTGTTTTGGATCACAACTCCCATCATGCCCTGCCAACCTTAGCTGGAGATGAGTGTGCTCTGGTTCTATGCACCTGAAAGGCAGCAGGTTGGGGAGGGCCAATCGATACCCCGATCACTGAAAAGAGTTGGTCTCTCCTTGCTCTCCTGCACTGAGGCTGCCTCTGTCCTACCAGGAATGGGAAGCTGGGGGGCAGGAGACCCGCCCCACCCTTGGACCAAGCAGAAAGGTTGGAGGAAACAACTCTGCTTCCGGGACGGTGCAGGGAGGACATTGCTCGCAGCCTTCCCTCAATTCCCAGTTAACCCCAACTGTTGCCCCAAACCTTTAGAATCCTAGAACAGTAGAGCTGGAAGGGGCCTTGAAGGCCATTGGGTCCAAACTGCTGCTGTTGCACGACACCAAGTTACGCCATCACAATTCACACCACCATCCCTTGGGCCTTGTTTTATTATTCCATCCACTCTTGCATCATGGTGGTGATATTAGAGAATAAGCTCTCTCTCTCTCTCTCTCTCTCTCTCTCTCTCTCTCTCTCTCACTCACACACACACACACACACACACACACACACA